CTTCGGCGTAGCCTCCTTCGGGTTTCTCCCGTCCGTAGGAAGAGAGTTCAACCGAACAGTCGGTTCAAAATGAACTACTGATTGACGATATTCAGTCACCCCCCCACGAGGGTGTCATGTGGCACAAAGGCCTTTTAACGTGGGCATTCCCGAGCCATTAGGCTCGGCCAAAAATAGCCCATTTGAACCCGTATAAACGGGTTTAGGGCCGGTTTAACCTCCCCAAGGAGACTCCGCCATTCGGCGTAGCCTCCCTTCGGGTTTCTCCCGTCCGTAGGAAGAGAGTTCAACCGAACAGTCGGTTCAAAATGAACTACTGATTGACGATATTCAGTCACCCCCCACGAGGGTGTTTGGCACAAGGCCTTTTTAACGTGGGCATTCACGAGCCATTAGGCTCCCAAAAAAAATCCATTTGAACCCGTATAAACGGGTTCAGGGCCGGTTTAACCTCCCAAAGGAGACTCCACCCTTCGGCGTAGCCTCCTTCGGGTTCCGTAGGAAGAGAGTTCAACCGAACAGTCGGTTCAAATGTACTACTGATTGACAATATTTAGTCACCCCCCACGAGGGTGTCATGTGGCACAAGGCCTTTTTAACGTGGGCATTTCCGAGCCATTAGGCCCGGCCAAAAATAGCCCATTTGAACCCGTATAAACGGGTTCAGGGCCGGTTTTACCTCCCCGAAGGAGACTCCGCCCTTCGGCGTAGCCTCCTTCGGGTTCCGTAGGAAGAGAGTTCAACCGAACAGTCGGTTCAAAATGTACTACTGATTGACAATATTCAGTCACCCCCCCACGAGGGTGTCATGTGGCACAAGGCCTTTTTAACGTGGGCATTCCCGAGCCATTAGGCCCGGCCAAAAAATAGCCCATTTGAACCCGTATAAACGGGTTCAGGGCCGGTTTTACCTCCCCGAAGGAGACTCCGCCCTTCGGCGTAGCCTCCTTCGGGTTCCGTAGGAAGAGAGTTCAACCGAACAGTCGGTTCAAAATGTACTACTGATTGACAATATTCAGTCACCCCCCCACGAGGGTGTCATGGCACAAGGCCTTTTTAACGTGGGCATTCCCGAGCCATTATGCTCGGCCAAAAATAGCCCATTTGAACCCGCATAAACGGGTTCTGGGCCGTTTAACCTCCCCGAAGGAGACTCCGCCCTTCGGCGTAGCCTCCTTCGGGTTCCGTAGGAAAGAGTTCAACCGAACAGTCGGTTCAAAATGTACTACTGATTGACAATATTCAGTCACCCCCCACGAGGGTGTCATGTGGCACAAGGCCTTTTTAACGTGGGCATTCCCGGAGCCATTATGCTCGGCCAAAAATAGCCCATTTGAACCCGCATAAACGGGTTCTGGGCCGGTTTAACCTCCCCGAAGGAGACTCCGCCCTTCGGCGTAGCCTCCTTCGGGTTCCGTAGGAAGAGAGTTCAACCGAACAGTCGGTTCAAAATGTACTACTGATTGACAATATTCAGTCACCCCCCCCACGAGGGTGTCATGTGGCACAAGGCCTTTTTAACGTGGGCATTCCCGAGCCATTAGGCTCGGCCAAAAAATAGCCCATTTGAACCCGCATAAACGGGTTCTGGGCGATTTAACCTCCCCGAAGGAGACTCCGCCCTTCGGCGTAGCCCTCCTTCGGGTTCCGTAGGAAGAGAGTTCAACCGAACAGTCGGTTCAAAAAATGTACTACTGATTGACAATATTCAGTCACCCCCCACGAGGGTGTCATGTGGCACAAGGCCTTTTTAACGTGGGCATTCCTGAGCCATTAGGCTCGGCCAAAAATAGCCCATTTGAACCCGCATAAACGGGTTCTGGGCCGGTTTAACCTCCCTGAAGGAGACTCCGCCCTTCGGCGTAGCCTCCTTCGGGTTCCGTGGAAGAGAGTTCAACCGAACAGTCGGTTCAAAATGTTCTACTGATTGACTCCTTGCCTACTCCCTGAGGCGCAGTATTTATTAAGTATGGAATAGTCCATTATTATTATTATGGGTAAGATCCCATAACAATATATATATATATATATATATATATATATATATATATATATATGAGAACTGACATTTGTCGGCGGAGGAGTATGTCATCTTTTCACTTTTCAATATCTATATAATAAATGCGAATGCCAGTGTGCCACAGTCATACCATTTTGGAATCAGCTCGACCCCGGGAGTAAATTAAAACCATTCCAGACCAGATCCAGACCCGCAATCCTGAAATTTTGGATTCCCAACTTTTCACTACTGCGATTGTTTTCGGCGACTTATTGTTTTGAGTGACTTATATGATCACCCCAGTCGCTTAATCCAAAACTGAAAAGATGGTATACTCCTCAGGCAAATATCAATCACTATATATAACAGCTGGCCACTCGTATTCGAGGATACCCGTCTACTAGGGCATCTAACCAATCCTTATTGCAGACGCTTGCTCAGGCGCATTTGTTTAACACCCACAGAGCCCACCTGTGGTTTATACTGCAACTATGCTGAGCAGACTTTAGTTATCTAGCGTGGTCAATAATTTGAACAAGGCCATCACGCTCAAGGCCTCGGCCACGATGACTTGTGATTTCGTGCTAGCACAGCTATCTACGGCTCCCAAGGGTTCTGTCTAACCAATTTCACTCACAAGGCTTGGGTCAACATGTTGTATGATTTTTCAGGCACTTTCCAAAGGTGTCGCACGCTGGGATCGACCCCCTCCAGTCCAGATAGCATCAAGAAGTCTCCTGAGAAATCGACCATAGTCAGAATACAAACATTCTAACCACTCGGCCTCTATGATAATATTTATAGAAAAAGCAAAGGGAAGCTGAATTACGGCAGTGCGAAATTAACTGAATTCGAGATGTCAGGTCAAGACCAATTGCATTCTCCTTTGCATTTTATCAAGAATATCTAAAAACATAATAATCTTCTTCTTCAGGCCGTGAGCGATAATGTCTCTCCACTATATCCATTGGAGTCCTTAGTAAAGTTTATTTGTATTGCTATCTCTCATCATTCCTATTCTGCCAACCATTTACAAAATCCCGTTAGGTAAGTTATTAGCCTTTTCCTCAGAAATGAAGAAGAGACTCGAAGCAACAAATATATGGCTCTACAGAAGGATGCTGAGAATAACATTGTCAAAATCAAAGTTTTATAGAAAATGGAAACAAAAAGGACACTTATACTTAACGTCAGAATGAGACAGTTGAATCTTGTAGGACGCATGATGAGAAAAGAGGGCTTAGAAAATTTGATACTCATGAAACAGATTGAAGTCAAGTGGAGCAGGCCGAAGTTTATCCCCGCAATCATTAATCCTATGAGGGACACTTTTTTGGTATATCCCGTAGATGTCATCGCAAGAGTCAAGTCCGTCAACATTAAAGCCATTCTATTCTGTCCAGATCATATTCTGCAGATAAAAGTAAACGTTTGTGGATCATCGATGTCTTCTAATATATCCGTATTCTTTGTGGCGTTTATGAAAATAGGTGTCGGTTAAGTTTGCGCCATTATTAGATGAGATTTACTGGCCAAGGGATTTGATTATTTTTGTATTGGCTGCGCCTGGTTTATTTTTTTTACCTGATTTACCAATACTGATAAATATTTTATATCATCTTTTACAATTTATTATTTAATCCGTTCAAAAATCTTTATATTTATGTCCGCTAGTTTATGCTTCGCTATTAGTGTCCTGGTTCCTCAAAAAAGTTGCGCATCACAGGGATATAATGATGTTTTCATTAATTTTGTAGAATTCTTTGCAGCATACAGAGTGTTCTTGGAGCACCAACATCTCCTAATTTTACTTCAAGTATGAATGCATTTTCTACAGTCAAAATGAATAAACCGTTCGGCATTTCCAGAAAAGCTTTTAGGTACTACTACATTGTTAGAGTAAGAGTAACTGAAAAGTTTCTTATTCACATGTGATGTTTTTATAACTTCATAGTTTATTAGCAATTCACTTATATGCACACAAAATCTTCTAAGCACGAAATAATTCAGCGCGGAGTCAGTAATTATTGTAAAAAACGGTGTCTGGTCGGTCTAACACCCCAGACGAGACTCTGTCCTTTGGCATAGCCTCGTCTGGGTTTCTCTCTGCTCGAAGGCAGAGTTCGACAACAACTGAGAGCTGAGTAACAGATCTCATCTAGACTCTGTAGTCCGTTGATTAACAGATACTTATATAGTAGTTACTACCTACAGTGTAGTTACTCATGGTGGTGATATTTTATTCCATTATATCAAAACTGATGATGCCAAAGAGAACATAAAATTTATCTGGTGTCTTTGATAAGAATTTTCTAGTTTGTTTCATCGTCTTCATTAATCTTCATATATAGGCAACTAGTTTTGAGATAATGTTTATCAAGCTTATTTTAAAGCTCTTTCTATATCATTTTGATCCCCACCGAGTGTCCCATATGCATGGTCTTGTGCCGAACTTAGTAGTAGGAGTAATAAATATTTCTACTAGCATAATATGGCGGAAAAAAATACGAGAGAAAACGAATCTATAAAACATGTAAATTAGCTGAAAATTACAAAACAAGAAATGGGAAAAAATCTTCAAACGCATTTCAGAAAATTGTAACAAATTTATAAAACAATTTCGGGCAAAATTTAAATTTAAAACAAAAGGTATTCAATGGAAAATGCCGATTGCGAAAGGCGAGCAAAAACAAAGCGACATTGTTTGGATATTTTTCGATAATAATAATAATAATAATAATGTGAGAAATTTGAATCAATACTAAATACAGTTGAGAATTGCCTGTAGTCGTAGTAGTGATGGTTTTTGATGAATATTAATAAAGATGGAGATATTTGCAATAATAAGAGAAAAGAAAATACTAAAACATTTAAATAAAGTAAATAAAATTGGTGTTGGCTGAGAACAGATTTGCTGATGTATATTTTACAAGATGATGCCGAATGAGAGCAATTATAATAGGCGAAGCGACTGAGGAGAGGACGAGACAGAAAAGTGATGTTAGCAATGGGGAAGGAAAGAAAGAAGGAAGAACAGAAAATGAGAAAAGGGTGGGATGACAAGAAACAGAAAGAATGATTGAAAGAAAGAGGAAGAGAGTAAAATGAATAAAGAAAATAAAACGAAATATTTAAAGAGGAAAGTAGGAAGAAGACAGAGAGAGAGACAACGGAACACAGTTGATAAAAGTGAAATGGTAAGAGGAGGAGGAATTAGGAAGAAGAAAAGAGAGAGAGAGAAAGAAAGAAAGAAAGAAAGAAAGAAAGAAAGGAACAATGCGAATAAAAGTGAAGAGAAATGCTAAAGGGAGGAGGAAACAAGAAGGAAAGAGAAAGACAAAGTAACAATGCGAATAAAAGTGAAATGAAATGGTAAGAGGAGGAGGAAACAAGAAGAAGAAAAGAAAAAGAGAGACAAAGGAACAATGAGAGGAGGAGAAAACAAGGAGAAGAAAAAGGAAAAGAAACAATGCGAATAAAAGTGAAATGAAATAATAAATCGAGGAGGAGGCAGTAAGAAGAAGAGAGAGAGAGAGAAAGTGGGGAAAATGCGAATAAAAGTGAAGAGAAATGGTAAAAGGAGGAGGAAACAAGCAGAAAAGAGAAAGAGATAGACAAAGGAACAATGCGAATAAAAGTGAAGAGAAATGGTGGCCATATATATTTCCAGTTTTAAACCAAGTATTCCTAGTAAGAGAAAGCGAAGTTATTTTAAAAGAAAAAAAGAGAAAAAAGTATAGAAAAATTTAATAGAAGAAAATTAATATTTTGTAATCTTGCCTAAGTCTGGCAAAAGTCATAGCAGTATCGAAAGTGTTGCAAAAGAAACGGAGTATTTTGAAGAAGTTTCTATAAAGAAAATGACAGCAAAGGAATTTTCAGAATAGACTATATAAAAGAAAATGAAAGAGGAAAAAAAAACGATTGATCTAAAAAGGTTAGAGGAATAAAGGATGTGATATATTTGTTACTATTGTTCACCTACTACAAGGCGCAAGAGCCACTCAATGTAGATAGTTAAAAAAATAAGGATGGTGTAAAGGGGAAAACTAGGGTGCAAAAGAAAAAGCCAACTCTTAACAATATTAACTACGAACAAGGTCACAATGAGCTAACCGTATTCGGAAATTAAAACATCGCCACAACACACTAAAACTTACACATAATGCACACACTCAATTAAGCTGAAAAATCGAACCATCCTTGATAATGACTAAAGTTATAGCCGAAAGCGCTCGAAACCTTTGGACAGTTTTTACACACTCTTTGTCCAGAAAAGAAAGCTCTTGTCCGAACACAAGAAAAATTAAATAAAAACCTTAACCGTAGTACCTTGTTTGTCGTTTTTACTGAAACATGCATATATATATATATATATATATATATATATATATATATATATATATATATATATATATATATGGGTACATAACTCTTGACTCGAAGTGGCCAGGATTGTTGTGATCAGGAAAGCTGTCTGGTTGGAATTCGAGCGTGTCTAGTTGAGTCGAGCGTGAGAAAGTAAAAAAAGTAACTCGATAGAATATCTACCATGAAATTAGTGCGAGAGGCTAGGAATGTTTTGTCTGTAGAAAAGAGGTCAGTCAGTTATATGTCATGCGTGATACACGCTTAGGCGATCATGTATCTTTCGTAATAGGTAGACCAGTTGCCATCCAACGCTATAAAACCCGGTCTATACTTCTCAGGTGAGAAGAAGAGGATTCATACCTTTCCCAAGGGTATTAGCATATAAGTGAATCTAGTGGATTCGAGTGAAATTCGAACTCGGCTCTCCACCGTGACTCCTAGGAAAAGAGGTAGTACAGTGGAAAACAAGTTATCGCCAACAAGACGCCGATGTTGAATAATAATAATAATAATAATAATAAGAAGAAGAAGAAGAAGAAGAAGAAGAAGAAGAAGAAGAAGAAGAAGAAGAAGAAGAAGCAGATAACGTGGTGTAATGGTTAGCAAGCTTGTCTCGCTAGAACAATTACGACTGAGTAGTGAGTTCGATCCTCACTGGGTGCCTCATACTTTCGGCCTTGTGCCACATCTAAACTTCCCTTACAAAATCTCCAGAGAACTTTGACGTGGTGTAATGGTTAGCAAGCTTGTCTCGCTAGAACAATCAAGAGTCATGAGTTCGTTCCTCACTGGGTGCCACATACTTTCAGCCTTGTGTCACATCTAAGCTACGCTTAGAAAATTATCATATTTTACACTTTGGACTGTGATGCATGTGCGTGGTATACACTTATCATACCGGGTGATATGATTGGCATATTCGGATTCGTATATTTGTACCTTAGCTTCACTTTTTCGGGTGCTGCTCTCTCAAATCATAATAATAATGAAAATAGTGAATGTCTATTCAGCTGATGCAATTTTAACAATTCAATGATATTAAATAATAGAATAAGACGCAACGAAAAACAACATGAACTTAACGGAACAAAATTTATGTTAATGCAACGTAATGAAGTAGTTGACAATGTTTAAATCATGAAATGTGAAAATGGCGTTGAAATGGCCTCGAGTTTGACGTTGCCGTGAGGATAGAGCCGAGACGACAACGAGACGCATCCAATACATGTTTCATGGTTTTTTTTTTTTTTTCCTGTCTATTACTCCTCCCTCCGTGTAAATCTCAACCTCTTTCTCTAATGTCTTTCTCTTTATTCATTTTTACTTTATTACAATTTTCTCTTTACATTCCTTCTCTCTCTCTCTCTCTCTCTCTCTCTCTCTCTCTCTTCATTTCTCTATAAGTATCTCGCTGTTTCTCTCATGTCACATTATCTTGTTTCTTTCTGTCTTTATTTATATTAAAATCTCACTCTCCCCCCTCTCTCTCTCTCTGTGTCTCTTTCTCTCTCTCTCTCTCACACACACACTCTCTCGTAGATTTTTCACATTTTGATTCTATTCATTCTTCACTATTTCTATTCTCTCCCTTTCTCTCAGTTCAGTTTTGACTCACTCCTGTCCTTCTCACTCTTTATCTTTCTCTCTCTCTATCTTTCTCTCTCTTTATCTTTCTCTCTCTCTCTTTCTCTCTGTATCTGTCTTACTGTTTTTCTCTCCCGATTTTCCCCTTCCATTTATATGTTCTCTATTTCTTTTCATTCGACTTCTTCACTTTACTCTTTTTTTAATGTTTTTATATTCGCAATCCTCTCCCTGAAATCTTTGTCTCCATCTATGCTTTTCGTCACCTCTCAACCTTTTCTCTCACTCTTAAACAATTTTAAATATCAGAATTGAATATCTCTCAATCTCTCTTTTACTATCTTTCCTTGTCTTTCTATTTCTCCTTAATGTTTACTTCACGAGCCCAATCGCCGATGTGTTAACGATTATTACAGTATTTGTCTATCAAGCTTTAGATAAGAACAGAAAGAATTCGGCCTGTGGCTTTAGATATCTCTAAGGAATTTGACAGAGTTTGGCGGGCTGGGCTTCTGCTCAAGCTGAAAGGCTATGGTGTCTCTGGCCATAAGATTTAATATGATCTCTTTTTCTTAAATCGTTTAATGAGGATAGTGCTGAACGGCCACTCTTCTAAATTGATGTAGTAGTGTTTCCTGCAACTACATTGTTTCTAATCTTCATCAACAACTACCCTGATATTGCCAGTTCCCAACACGGGATTTATGCTAAAACATCAAATTCGGTGGGCGGGTTACCTCGTCAGAAGGGATGACGGCCGTATTCCAAAGCAATTGTTTCGTGGTGAGCTGCGAAAAGGGAAGTGAAATGCTGTCAAACCTAAGATGCTCTGAAGAAATGCATCAGTCCTTTTGAGCACTGCTAAAAATGTGCATCTTTTCGCAATAATTGGAGGCTACTCGGAGTAGAAGGTGTCACTTTGAGGAGGAGAAGAGGGGGTACGCAAGGCTTAAAAGAGATGTGCGTAAAGGCGTCCCGTTTGGACTTCCTGAAGACACCCGCAGGCAGCTCGATCTGATGTGTACAGATTGTGGTAGAGTGTTTTTGTCGATGCAGCCACTTGAGCGAGCAACGACGGAGGGTGGCAATTGACCATAAAGCCAGCAACTGAAATGTGGTATTTGCGGTAAGACACTTCCAGAAGAGGTTTCATGAAACATTTTAAATTGCATAATAGTATAACACCAGCTGTTGAACCTCTTAAGTGTTCTGTTTGTGCCAGATTATGTATAGGTCCCTTACTGGGTTAAAGAGCCACATACGTTCAGCACATCAGTATATATTCCCCCAAAAGTTATGTAGTAATGGACGTACTCAGACACGAGTTGGCAACCATTATCTATGCTGATGACACTAATATTTACACCTGTCTTAACAGTAAGCACGGCAGAGTAATTGGTTGCAGCTCAAACTGAGGAATTGGAGCGCCAAGTTCAAATTCCAGTCGAGTCCTTTACATTGACTTACATACTAACACCCTTGAGAAAGGGATGAATCCAACTCTTCTCTACCCCCAAGCTATGGATAAAATAGTAAGACAGACTTGGTTCTATATCATTTGTTGGCAACCTGTCTAGGAGAAGGAAATCTCTGAATACAAAACTGTATGTAACTCTGGCGATGCACAAAGGACAGGATTGTTGGCATTAACTCTACGATCTCGACAACGGTCGACTCCTATAAGTCCGATAACATGAAACTGGTATCTAATCTTGAAAATGTCTTCCAATCAGTTGTTAACTGGGGCAAGAAATGGCTTGTAAATTTTAATGCTTCCAAAACGAAACCACCACATTTTAGTTATAATAAAGAACTATTTTGACCTTCCATCAGCATGGCAGTATAAACAGTATTAACAACATTTACCGGCCCGAATGTCCGAGAAATTTTCATAGAAAATATTCGTCCTCCGACAGACATTCAGGCCGGTAAATGTTGTTAATATAGTTTATTATAAACAGAGCATTTACTTAAATATTTGTATCCATAAAAAGAATGCATAAACATAAAAATGTCTTAAAATAATTGTCGGGCTTTGTCCATTTCATGATGTGTGACGTCATTTGTTTACATTTGGATACACATCGAGCAGATATGAATGTACGTGAGAGAATCATGGAAGATTGTAGTTTAAAAACAATAAATTCGACCTTGCTAACTGAACGATCCTCTGTGGCCGGATCGGTTACGGCACGTCAGAATATCAAGTATATATATATATATATATATATATATATATATATATATATATATTTGTTTCTCACTGTTTCGTACCGGTTCTCGCAAGATCACCGAAGTTAAGCAGAGTCGTTTTTGCCCAGTACCTTGAAGGTTGACTGCTACGAAATATCATGGATGTCTGTGTGGTGTAATGGATGAAAGCAAGGAAGAGTTCAATTCTGGTCAAGTTTGTTATATTCACTTGCGTGCAAAAACCATTGTGAATGTTATACATCCACCTCATCTCCCATCGGCTATGGGTTAATTACTATTTCTATTAGTACATCATTATTATCACCCCCACCACAAAAAAAATTCTTGAAATATTTGCTAGCTTTACATAACCTGCTCTATATAAGCCCTAAGAAAGTTACCGTTTGAATCTGTTCATATCTATCTATCTATCTATCTATCTATCTATCTATCTATCTATCTCTGTCCATGTCTATCTATCTGTCCGTCTATCTATCTCCGTCGATATCT